TCTATTGGCGGATGATTTTCCCTCCATATTTGATATACACGCCTTGTTGATATTTTATATTTGATAGCCATAGCTTCCGATGCACGTTTCATCGAATTTCTAGCATTAATGATATCTTGTATATTATCATCTGATAAAGGAGTTGCATCAGATCGCAGATATCGAATTATTTTTTCAGAGTTTTGAGTCATGATCTATTTATAAAAAATAAAAAAAAATGGTTAGATATAAATTCGAAAGTTTTTCAATCTAGTTTCGATATATATCTAGACTGTTCGGTAAATATCTAATTTTATTTCAATATAACTAGATTATTCAGTTAATATCTAATTCTATTTCGGTAAATATTCGATTTAGATATATCAGTTAACATCTAATTTTATTTCGATAAATATTCGATTTATAAATATCGATTAATATCTAATCTTTATTCGATTTATTCTTTTTTATTAGTATTTGATTAATATCTTCAGTCAACATTCAATTAGTATGACCACAAGCAGTACAATAAAAACTTATTATATCAGACGATTTCTTATTGAGTGTTGCATTATCTATTAGTGGTTCAGTACATAATTCAATAAGGTTTTCAGTAATCAGATTCTTTTTTTCTACTGGTGAAATTTCAGTTATATTGGTCTGAAAAGCTAAGTCTAAAGATTTATTTTGCGTATTAAGCATGGGGTCAATGGAATGTTCCTGTCCTCTCCATATTTGATAAATACGTTTTGACGATGTTTTATACTGAGTCATCAATTCATTTATAATTTTATATCTTGGTTTTTTATCATGACACTGTAAGATATAAGAATAATCTTCAGGAGAAAATAGAGGTGCATCAGATCTTAAATATCTAGTCATAGTTCTACTATATATGATAATCGGTAGTTTGTAAATTATAGGTATTATTAATATTAATTATCTACTGTTTAATTTATTTTATAAAAGGTATATTCGATATGTCACAAATTCATACATTATCAGATATAGGTGGAGGCAAAAAACTTGGAGACATGCCCACCAATCGATATCCGTCTAGCTGAACAGAACTTGAAAATCAGCTTGTTTGCGTAAATCAAGATCGGGAAATTGCTATAGAATGTGGTAATCGACTTGCTAATAAATGTTCTATCTTGGATAAAGAAAATAAGCGTATACAACATAATTTAAAACAATTCAATAAAGATAAAGAGAAACTCTCCAAACATGCATTCCAGCTTATAGATGAGGTTAAACGATTGAGAGTAGACAACACTAATCTTACATCCCAGATTACCCAATTACAGATTTCCCGTAATGAGTATAAAGCCAGATACAATATACAATTAAAAGAAATAAAATCACTCCAGGCTATAATTAAGATATTGGAGAGTAAGTTAGCATCAGCTCAAAAAGACGTATTTTCGATTCAGGAAAACTTAACGAAAACGGAAACTAAGAATCTATCCCTTAAATCTAAAATAGATGACTTTAAACAAATAGAAGTTGAATTGGAGCGTGTGAGAAGCGAACTCGATCACCTGAAATCGGAGGCTATATCAAAATCTGTAGACTCTTTGACCTGTTCCACAATAGTTGGTAGAAATGATGAAAAAAATATATCCAAGTCTGACTTACAGAGTGAGAATGTTTTCGCATTTAATAACGGAGTTAGTGCTAAAGCACATATATCTATAGACCCTTTAGGTCATGATTCGAAGAATCGCCTAACGGCTTGCTCTGCAATAATTAGTGAATCTAGCAATAGTCTTAGACCATATCTAGCATGCAGAAAAAATATAGAAGATATCGAAAAAATCGATGATGATGACGGAATCATCCCTATACCCAAGGTAAGTGACTCATGGAATGAGGATGCTAACACATCTGAAACTAATAATAGTGGAACTAGTAAAGATATTATGCTAAACACACATATAAATTCAGATCCGCAGATTTCAGTAGGAGGAATAGAAGCAATACCTACTGTAGCAAGTACTTTGATGTCACCACTATCGGCATATATGTTACTTATCTTGATTATTGCTGTTATATGGTTCGTGGTATTTAGACGTTGTTACAGAATGAAAATATAATGATAAAATAATATTAAAAACACCTGTAATAATTTATAATAACCCTTAAAATAATATTTAGAATTTAATATTAGTCCATGTAACAAATAGTAACAATCTAATAATTACTTTTAGTAAATATTTATAACCCGTAACACAAATTAATTAGTCGCGAAACAGTAGTACAAGATCACGTGTTCACGTGATATTTAGTTACACAAACATAACTATCAATTCATAACATTAATTATTATCACTTAACATTATTTAACAATAATTATTAA